TCGACATTGAAATTCGACATGATCTTCATCTGCAATTACATCCTAATGGAAAATATTTCTTGTTGCCTTCTATTTTTGCAATGTCGAAGAAAGAAAAAGAAGTGTTTTGGATGGTGTTGAAGGATATAAAGGTCCCATATGGGTATGCATCAAATATATCTCGATGTGTCAGTGTTAAAGATCGAAGACTTTATTCTTTAAAGTCACATGATTATCACATATTAATGCGAGATTTACTGTCAGTAGTTTTACATGGTTGCATGTCGAGTAAGGTGACGTCTTATATCATTGAACTTTCTAATATAATTAAAGTTATGTGTGGGAAAGTTCTTATGGTTGAAGAACTTGAGAAACTACAAGATCGGGATGCCTTGACTTTATGCAACTTATAGAAGATATTTCCACCTTCATTATTCACAATTATGGTGCACCTTCTAATTCATCATCCTCATGAAGCAAAAGTTGGTGGACTAGTTTTCTATCGAGGGATATACCCTATAGAGAGGTGTTAATTGAATTATATGTATTAAATGACTAGTTATTATACCTTTTCATCAAACTTATTTACATAGTATTTTGTTTTGTGTATAGGTTATTGTGCAAGTTGAAGTCTTACTATCGTAATAAGCGTTATCCGGAAGGATCAATTGCTGAAGAGTATTTAGCAGAGGAATGTATGACATTTTGCTCTAGAAATTTGGAAGATGTTGAAACAAGATTGAATAGACCAAATAGAAATGATTTGTTCAATACATGACTTAGCTGAGACTTATTTGTTTGGAAGTTATGGTGAACCACTCGGCAAAGTTGAAATTGCACACTTAGATGATACGTCTTGGGTACGAGCACACCGATATATTCTTTTCCATCGCAATTCAATAGATCCATTTTCCAAGTAAGTTTTACGGACTAAACCCTAATGTATTTACTTAATCTTTTATATTTCTCATTCTTTAAAGAAATAATATACTTTATAGTGAGTTTAAATAAGTCTTGAGATCTCGTGCACGCTCTCAAAGATTACATCAGCGAAAGATACATAAGTTATTCACAGAAACTTTTCATGAATGGTTAGGGAAGACAGTAAGCAACTAAATCATTGCACATAATTGTAAATAATATATAGCTCTTGTTTTAATATATTGACATAAATGCTAATTAATTCACCTTTCACGTGTAATAGGTTTGGAGTGGGAGAGAAGTTAGTGAAGATGTTAAATGGCTTTCTCAAGGTACGAATAGAATTGTTTAAAGATATAATGTCTTCCTCATTAATGGGTTCAAGTTCCACATGAAATCTCTTGAAAGATTATGGAGAACACAAAATTGCGGAGTAGTTGTTACTTCTTCAACTACAACTTATGCTAGTGCCAGGGACAATCATCCTTTGGAGGGAGATGTAGAATATTATGGAATTCTTACAGAATTATTGAGTTAGATTATTATGGAAAATAAAAGGTTGTGTTGTTTCAGTGTGACTGGGTTGATGTAAACACTACTCGAGGCATAAAAAGAGATAATTTTGGTTTTACAATGGTGAATTTATCTCGGTTAATTCACACTGGTCAAAGATGGATGAGCCATATGTATTTTCTTCTCAAGTAAAACAAGTTTTTTACTGTCACGATCCAATGGATGAGGGTTGGTATGTTGTGCTCCGTAATACCCTAGAGACTTGATAGACATCGGGGATGGAAGTAGAGATGACATTGAAATAAAATCAGAATCTTTACCTTTTGTATCACAAAACTTAGAGGAAACTATCAATAATACTACACAATTTCAATGGGTTCGGGAGGACGTGGATGAATATATTTATGAAAATTGATATGACAAAAGAATGTAGTAAGATTTTATATCTTAATTTATTAATTTATAATATTATAACTGATAACATATTGTCCTTCAATATATTCATTAATTGAATCATTTTCATACTAAAGTTGTTGTTTGTTTATTACATATATCATGCCCAGGAGAAAATTAAGTGATTTGTGGATTGTTCAAGCTTCTCAAGAGGAGGAACAAACAAATAATGAGGAATCGGCTATTATTGACTCTTCGAACGTTCCTACTACTGCTGAAGAAGCTGTAGAAATTGAAGGTAATGTTCAAAATTTTCTTTAATTGTTGTTTCATTTTGAAAGCTTACATTTAATTATTTCATATATAGTTGTAAATGGCTGAACACGTAATACTAGAAGATGTACAACTTTAAAGGAATTATACCAACTTCCTCCTGGGCACCATGTTAAAGTTTCAAGAAATGATGTTGGTTAACCTATTGGCCCAGAAGCACGTGTTCTATCTGGTTACTTAGGCATGGTTGTACGTGATGCTAATCTTTTACCGATCAATTATGCGTCATGGCGTGAAATGCCAAATAGTAACAAAAATCAGGCTTTTGATTTTGTTAAGCTAATAATGTCATTATAATACATAATCCATAACAATTCAATAGTAATTTATACTTACTTTGAACACTTATGTTATTTGTAGGAGAAATTTTCTTTAGAGGTTTCAGATGATTATTTGAAGCAAGCGTTAGGGAAGAGATGGAGAGACCACAAGCGTTCATTAAAAAAGAAATACTTCAAGAATGATCTCAACCTTGAAGAGAAGCTACAAATTGTCCCACCTGGAATGTTCAGGTATCAATGGGAAGATGCAGTCAGGTTTTAGAGTTCAAAGAAAGGACATGTATGATGTATTTTTCAAAAATAATATAATTTCATTATAATATTGACTTTATAAGTAAATAATTCAAATTGTAGGACCGAGAGCATGTTGGTGTTGCTAGCAGACAACAACAAAAAATTACTCATATAGCTGGATCGAAGAGCTTTGCATGTATAGCTAATGATGAGGTATTATTGATTATTCACATAGTGATTTACAGTTGGCTGCACATACTAACGAAAATTAAATATATTATTAATTAATTTTTTGAAAGACTTAATTTTTATTCTACATTGTAGGAAAATACTTCTGGTTGTAAAGTATGACGAATAAAGCTATTTGATACGACACATACAAAAAAGGATGACACTCATATGACTGATGAAGCTGCATAAATTATGGTACATTGATTGGACACAAGATTTGAATTATGTTATATTTATATCTATAGTATGACATTCTTTTTAAAATAATTATTGAATTGATTATTAGGAAAATTGAGGGATAAAAGGGCGGAGTATGAAACTACGACTTCAAGTCATGGTATTGTTAATGCGGATGACATCAAAAATCAAGTTATTAATGAAGTTTTGGATCCTGAAAGATATGTCGGGTTCGCTGTCAAGGACCATTCGTTACTCCCACTAAATATTTTGGATTTAGTTCATCTCAGTACATGTCATCACAGAGTTAGCCGTCCCAATTAGAAGTGAGTCGTTTAAAACAACAGTTGACTAAAATGGATCAAAAAATAGCTAACATGAAAGCCGAAAATGAAGCGAGGGAAGTAGAGAGAGAAGCAACATATCAGTAAAAATGTCAAGAATTTGAAAATCGGCTTGAAGCTATGATACAGATGATATGAAAAAATCAATCTCATATTCCACCATCTTAGGTCTTATTTAAAGTTGGTTATTATTGATTTAAAGTTTGTTGTTATGGATGTTATGTTTATTGGATAATGCTACAAGTTAAAAATTTAAATTTGGTTAACATAAGAGCAGAAAACACCCATGGCAAAATTTGTGTTAATTAGCGGCATTTGTATAACAAACGCCACTAAATACATAATCAATACCGGTGTTTTAGAAAAAAAACCACTGAAGTTCTAGGTCATTTGCGGCGTTTATACAAAAAACGCCACTATAGACATAGTTAATAGCAACATTTTAATTTACAAACGCTGATATATGTCACATCTTTTACATACATTTTTGGGAACAAACGCAACTATATGTCATAACATTTAGCGACGATTTTCTACAAACGCCACAAAAGAAAAGAATATAGTGGCGTTTTCAACAACGCCGCTAAATATCATAACCTTTAGTGGGGTTTATGGAAACAACGCCACTAAAACTCGTAACCTTTAGCGGCGTTTGCAGACAAAAAACGCTACTACCTTTTGCGACATTGGTTTTAGCGACGCTTTTGGTGGCTTTTTTTCGCCACAAGGGTTTTTAGCGGCGCTTAAAAATGCCACTATATGACCGAAAAAACGCCGCAAAAAACATGTTTTGTTATAGTGGATATTCCATTCCTTATTATTTTCACTTAACTTTTATGCTATAATTATTTAAAGAGATGCAATCTTTTTTGTGATCTCTGTAATTTTTTGGTCCTAGTTATAGAGATTGTTTTATAAGTATGTTGGGATAGTTCTTGGGATACACCAAGATTTTGAGATATATATCGAATTATGAGTTAAAAGAAATTGTAGATATTTATACTATTTGTGATCTCTATGTTTACAATTGATTATTGATTTTTGTGTGTGTGGAGTTTGACAAAAGTGAACAACATTAAATCTCATTTTTTATGTATGATTTATTTATTGTGAATCTCATGTTATTTACTTTTTCACTTATAAAATTTTTAATTCATAATTTAGCTTGAAGCAATTTTTAGATCCAAACTAACTAGTTTAATTTTGTTAAATCTGATATTGTTGTAATTAATATAGTTTACCCTCCCTTTTTCAAGTATAACACCTAATTAAAAAGTTGATCAATAATAAGATGATTATTAGCTTTACCTTATATAAGTGGCAATTAGATGTCGTATCCCGTAGGAGATCTCTAACCAAACAATGAAAATTAAAATAAATTTGTTTTCATTTATATCAAATGCCAAAATTTGTTATACCACACAACAAGCAAAGGAAGAAAAAAGAAATAAAAGGAAGGTTCCAATGAATAACATAATTAAGTAGCTAAATCCCACAATTCACGTTGGATCTCTGGTTCTATTTCTCCTAGTTTTTTTTTCTTTTGACAAAAAAGAAAAGAAAAGAAAAGAAAGAAAACCTGAGATAATATTGATTGAGTTGTCCCCGGTGCATGTCTCTCCACCGATGGGTTGTGGGGTTTCAAAATTTGACAACACAGTAGGAGGAGAGGACAGGCAAAGGCGTCAATTAAGAGTAGTTCATAGAAAGAACAGTGCTGCTGTCGTGATACCGAAGCCATTGCCCGTAGACGGCGATGGAGACGAGGATTCGAAGGGTAAGTCGAGGTCCGATGAGAGAGGGGGAGATAATTACCACAAGGACGAGAGTGAGGAGGACGATGGAACAGATATACCTCACTCGCTAAGTTTCAGGGTATATTGCAATTCATCTTTCGATGACAACACCCATGGTAAGCCTTCATTATTATTATTATTATTATTTTGGTCGCCAATGCCAAAGGCACTAACGTCATTTTTTGTTGTACAGGTGATTGTAACGCAAATAACATGATGGGCAAACACGAAGGGGATGCTGGCAATCGCAAGGTATTACATTTTGAATCCACAAGCTCTTCATTAATGGCATTTGGAAAGGATTTATATGGAATCAAATTAACAATTTTGATTTTGTTGTTTGTTTGAACAGGGATCAAATACTCGATCGAGGAGGAAATCTATGGTAGGCAAAGGACTCAAGTGCATTTTAAGATCATAATTTGCCTGGTGATACTTGAACAACCATATTGAAAGTTGCCGTCATGATGTACATAGAGCTTCATTTGCTTCTTCTTTTTTTTCTCCCATAAACACAGATGTTTTTCAGGTCTTGAAGGAACAACACAGTGCTCCCTATTCTTTTTATTGTATCAGGAAAAAACATGCGACCTTAATGTTTTTCGTAACGATCAGATTGCAAATTAAATACACTTCGTTGTATACCTACTTATGAAATGAATGTGCATCTCCTACATACTCTTTCTGCTTAGCTTCTGAAAATGGCTAGTCATAGAAGAAATCCTCCATTCAACCTTTTTTTTTTTCTAGCTTAGTTTCCTTTATGATAATGATTAAAGAACTTTTGGAGCCATAAACAATTTCAAAAAGATAATTTTTAGAGAAAAATACGTTTGAAAAATATTTTTCAATCCAATAGCAAAAGTGAACAAAAGTTATATTTTAACCTTCACTTGTTGAAAAATATTTTTCATTATCAAATGACGAGTTTCTTTTGATCAGCACTGTGTTTAAATATTTTTCAATCCAATAGTAAAAGTGGAAAAAAATATAGTTTTAACCTTCACGGATTATATTTTCCTTTAAAAGAGGGTAACTTCCATTTTACTTCAAAACATTCTTTTATTATATTTTTTTTCATTTATGGAATTATATGTTGGTAATGCTCAATCCCATATAGAATTGGAAACACTAGTGGGAATGGTATTTAAGGTTCACATTCTCCATTCCCTTGTTGAGTGATAGAGAACAAAGCGTGAAAATACGTGTCTTTGACATGTCCGCACGAATACTATCCTTTTAGAAAAACTTCGTAAGGAATTTTTCTCTGAAAGATTAAATGAAAAAATGTGAAAGATTCATCTGATATTTATAGCTTACTCAGGTTGTTAAAGTTACTTTCCTAAATTAATCAGAACTTAAGATGTATTTGGACTTATTTCCAGCTTTGTGGAGAGACAAGCTGTTAATATCAAGAGTTACAGGAGTTATTTGATTTAATTTTAGGAGTTATAACTGTTGAGTTTTTATGCAATGAACCTGGACTCTTTTTTATCTAGATTCATCAATACATTTCAGGAGTTACAAAAGGGTTTAAATTCAGAATTAAAATCAAATTTAATTTGATTTTTTGTTGGACGAATTTACCCTTACTTCTAGCTTATAAATAGAGAGCTGAATTCAGCTTCTCAACTCACTCTCTGCATTCAGAATTCACTCTCCAAGTGTTTTTTAAAGTTGTTCTCTTCGTGCTTTCCGATCAGAAGTGCAATACCACCAGCAGTCCACTCCTATTTCGGGTGTACGAAATTTGGAGCAACCGTGTTAACCTCGGGGGACGATTCGCCTATTGCAGCGATTACACACATTGGGGCAAATTTGTTTCTAATGTAGTGGTTAATACCACGACATAGTAAATTGGTTCTTTATTAATATATTTCAACATATATTTTTTCAGTCAATATTAATGCCTCGTTTTGCAACAGTATATTTTTCCAAAAATTTAGAAATGAATTCTTACTTCTGCTAAATACGACAATAATTATTATTGTCCGTGTTGTGAATATGGATTCTATGGTCTACTGGAAAATTATCGGTAAGAAAAATCGAAAATGGATTGCACTGCATGAGATAGTGTCTCTGCTTTGCAAAGTTTGAATTTAGTATACTTTTCGGAATGGTAAGAATCAAAAGGTTAGTACGATTGCATTCTTAATATTAAGAATGATTAATACGATACTTATTGTCGAAACGCTCCCCGCCAGGCTTTTTAGGGCTTTTTCGGGAATCGATCCAACTTAAATATTGAGAACATATCGGGTTTTAAAATAGACAAATTTGGAGTCACCAATCGACTTTTGGGTTAGGTAAGTCGAATATCTAAAAATATATATTAAAATAATTTTAAGAAAAAAATAATTTTAAAAGATAAAAAATTGGTCTGCGTTTAACCAGAGATTCACTTTGAAAAGGGTTTGGGAGTCGGTTACGTGTAGGGAAGGATTAGCACCCCACAACACCCAAAATTGGTACTTATGATTATATGTCATCTTAATTATTAAAATTGGCAAATTCAAGTAATATTTAAATTATGATAAAAAGGAAAATGGGATATTATTTTATACGAATAATATTTAGAAATACCTTCCTATCAAGTTAAGGAGATATTTTTTATAAATTAATCAAATAAAAGAAAAAAATTATAATTACAAAAATTGATAAATATGTAAATAAAATATTAAAAAGTAAACATAATGATTAAATTATAAAACTACAAAAGTTCAAGGTTACCTATGTAAATAAGTCATATTTTAGGCATTAAAATTGTAAATAAACCAATAATAATATTAAAAATAAAAAATATTAAAGTTAAGGGATTAAATTGCTAAATATTAAATTTATGGCCATAAATGAAAATATCACGAAATCTATATATTAAAATTTTAATTTAACCCTAATAAATTATTTAGGATTTAAAAATATAATATTAAAATAACAGGGAATAAAATGGATATTTTACCCAAACAAACATACATATTGGTTAGTGACTAAATTGAAATGTATAAAAACATGAATTCAGTGACTAAATTGTAAGGCTTAAAAAGTACATGGACCATATATATGATTTTCCTATGCACAAAATCATGCAAATACCCCATCTGAAACAACGTAGTTTTGAATTAGGTATAAATACCCATTAAACCAGCCTAAAAAGCCATTCTTCCTCATTTTCTCAATTTTGTTTCTCTCTCTAAGAAGGTTTGACTTCTCTCTAACTCCCTTACCAGAGGGAGAACCAACCACCGGCCGACCATCGTACGTCGACGCCAACAACCACTAAAGATGGCCGAAATTTACCTCAAATCGAAACCCGAGTTATCCTAAACCTGAATCCATGATTCTTTCCTCCTAAAAACCCGAAGGTTGACGTAAATCATTTACCTTCGAACGACACCACTTTCCTAAGATGTTGAGGATTCCGACAACGTTTGAAGACCTCCGAAGACGGTAAACTTCTTCTCTCTTTATTTTTTATTTTACTTTCAAACGTATGTTATTGTTGGTTGCTGCTCCTTATTGGTTCCTTGCTGCATTTATTTTCATTTCTTGATGTCTTCCCTTTCTTCTTTGCTCGTATCTCTCTGTGTATCTTCTGGTTGTCCCTATTTTTTCTTCTTATAGGATCGGTCTTTTATAGGCCTTAAATGTCGTTCATAATGATGAAGCTTCGGTGAGTCACCAAAGCTATAGTGGTGACTTACCATAGGGGCGATGATGTGTGTGGTTATCTTGATGGGTGCATTAAATGAACCCAGATCTTCTGGATTTATCTGTTGAGGTGGTGATGGCATGGCAACGGCTGACTAGAGCACCTGGAGGCGGCGATCGGAATAACCCTAGGATTGTAATGAAACCCTAGGGTTTCTATTAGACGAATATGGGTCGTTCATCTCTATTTTGATTGAACGGTTTGGATGAGGAGGTGGCTGGAGATTTGTGTGCAAAAACCCTGGACCGGTTCTTAGATCTGAATTTGGGCCTGGACCGGTTTTGGATCTGGACCGGGTTTTGGATCTTTGGTTTATCTTCTCGGGTCTATTGTTTTGTAACTAGGCCCCGGTTTATTTATTTGGGCTTGTAATAATTTAATACTAATAATAATAATAATAATATAAATACGTAAACTCAGAAGAAAATGATTGTCGACAACTGCCCCTCTTTGCTAATTTTTGTTTAACAAAAATAGAGCAAAGACAAAAGGACAAGGAATTTTCGTTCGGTTAACTTCTCTTTACTAGGAAATCAAAGATTGACTTCGTTTTACTAGGAAGTCAATAAAGATTAAAAACATCCTACTCGAAGGTCTTACGGATGGCCCGTAGGACTTATCATCTTTGGGAAATAGTTTACTGGGTAAGAAACTTTAGAAATCGCTTTCTTACTTTTCAGCAATTTCATTTTCTGAATATTAAATGAGAAACTTTGGTAATCGCTTTCTCATTTTCATGTGAAAACATCCTACCCGGAGGTTTTACGGATGGCCCGAAGAACTTATCATCTTTGGGAAATAGTTTACTGGGTAAGAAACTTTGGAAATATCTTTCTTACTTTTCAACAATTTCATTTTCTGAACATTAAATGAGAAACTTTGATAATCGCTTTCTCATTTTCATGTGAAAACATCCTACCCGGAGGTTTTACGAATGGCCCGAAAGACTTATCATATTTGGGAAATAGTTTACTGGGTAAGAAACTTTGGAAATCGGTTTCTTACTTTTCAACAATTTCATTTTTGGAAAAGATTAAATGAGAAACTTTGAAAATCTTTTTCTCATTTTTCAAAACAATTTGATGTTTGGGTAACATGCCCCAAAATAATGATTCCTTTGTGCATTACGACCATCTATTCTTCAAGTCTTGCCTCTTCCTCACGTGATTCTTGTATTTGAGGTTTGAATTCTACCTTCTACTTGTAAGGTATTTTGTCATCATGAATCTTCTTTTTTCATACGAAGATCTGTAAAAACCTCATGTTTGAATGCAATCAAATGTATCAATGTAATGCATTTTATTTTATACAAATGATGTTCTTATGAATGCATAAATGTTGATTCAATCTTCATTTGACTTCAAAGTGGCGAATTCAATCTTCTTCCACATGATCATTCATTTCCAAGGTTTACTTCAAATTTCAGTGTAGCAACCTATAATTTCAAACTTGCATTTCTGAAGAGTCATCTGATCAACTTGTATCTTTGTGTCTTCTTTGCCTCCATTTGCATTAAAATCTCAAAAGAAATGTTTCATTTATGGAACTATTGTCGCAGTCAGAATTATGACCTTGTTGTCCCCATTTTATCCTTGGACTTGTGTGAAAATCCAATAAAGCCTTCATTTTTTAAAGGAGAATCTACCATCTTTGGAGAATGTAGATGTAACTATTCCAAGCTCAGCAGAGATTAATTAGGAGAACAGTTTATG